TGAATCAACCTTTTTCTTATAAAGTTGGCCTATTTCAGATATTTTATTATGGTAACAAAAAGCTGATTAATACAGAGGTAGATGGATTTGATGGTGTAGAGAAGGATTATAAGCTTAGAGTTATTTTGAAAAAGGATAAATGGTTTCTAGCAGTTGCCTACTTTATGAAGTCAAAAGCCAAGTATTTGTAGATCTGTTTGGCTCCCTTTTTTATAAAACATAAAGGCAGTGTCTGTATGAAGAATCACTGTACTACCTGGGACAAACATGACCTGCTGTTTAGGCAATCCCAGTCCATATCTGTCCTCCCTCCTGTGTCTGTAGTGGTCTTACTTCTTCAGTCAGAGAAGAACATTTTCTCCGTGTAGCAAATGGTAAGCCAAGAGCCATTGCAAACTATGCCTCTGGATCCATTCCAGCTCTACTGTAGCTTTAAAAAAGAAAAATAAAAAAAAACAACTAAAGACAAAAAACATTAGGTGACTGAGCTAATACTACATGGTTCAAGAGTAGCTGGTCATGGACTGGGGTTGTGGCTCAAGTGGCAGAGTGCCTGCCTAGCAAGGATAGCTGGTCAGAAGAACCAGTCTGGGGCTTTTAGTGGAAATTTACCCAACGTGTACTTGGAGTTCATTGCATGTAGTCTACACACAGGCTTGCTCTGAAGGAGCTTTACTAGTCGGGAGATGAACAAAGAAACAAGTCACTGTCATGCATTCTGGTAAGAGAGAACTGAACTCTGTCTGGCTCTAACAGGAGGCACCAAGGAGAAAAGTGTTCGTAGAGAAGGTTCTGGACAACAAGGGATTTGGCACGCAAAGACTCACCAGACTCCATGGTCCCACCATGGATTGACAGCTCTTGTTCTCGGGTTCTTAAGACAGAGTCCCTGTGGCTTTATCAGAATTAATGATTAGTCTTGCCAGGGGAGCAGTCTCACCTACAGAGTTCAAGTGCAGCTGTGATTTGGGCATGGTTTGAGTGTGGAGTTCTTGATTTTTGGGTGGGGATGGATACTAGGGTTTAAACTCAGGGCCTTACACTTGCTAGGCAAGTGCCCTACCACTTGAGCCACTCTACTTTTTTTTTTTTTTTTTTTTTTGGCACTAGTGGGGCTTGAACTCAGGGCCTCCCAGTTCCAAGGCAGGTACTCTACCACTTGAGCCACACCTTGAGCCACTCTACTAGTCCAGTTCTTGACGTTTTATAAAAAGGACAAGCCTGGCCCCTGAATCCCTCTGACTTCCTGTCTTACCATGTGATTTCTCCCTCTCACATGTGCTTCTGCCAGGATGCCATCCACCATGTTGTGGTATAGGTAAAAGACAAAAGACCCCAACCAGAGCCACACAGATACTCTTGGACCTTCAGAGCTGTTATCAAAATAAACCTCTTTTTTGCAAAAGCACACAGTCTCAAGTATTTTGTTGTAGCAACAAAATGGACCAAGTCAAATACCAAGTGGTGATGTCTGAATTTTAAAACATTACATTCTTAACAAGAAAACAGATGACTCAAAGATGGACAAAGGATTTAAATGGACATTTCTCTAAAGAAGATTTACAAATAGTCTATCTGGGCATGAAAATCACTAGTAATTGGGAAATGACAAGTCAAAACCTCTACATACCCATTAGAATGACTATCATAAAAGAACAATAATAAAGGAAAATAACAAGCATTGCCCAAGGATGTAGAGAAATTAGAACCCTGGTGCATTGATGGTGGAAACACTTTTCCTAGGTTCCCCCAGTGGTAACATTTTGCAAATGATAATATACTGTCACTAACAGCATGTAGACATTGATGCAGTTCACTGAATTTATCCAGGCTGCCCAGTTTTACTTGTACTTGTGTGTGTGTGTTAGATTCATATTTTAATCAGCTGGGTTGGTTTGTGCATCTAGTACAATAATCAAGAACAGTTCAAACACCACAAGGATCCTGGTATTTTCCTTTCATAATTACACGAGATCTCCCTGCATGCTGCCTTTGCAAATAGTGTGTTCTAGAAGCCCCATCAGGGCATGTCTCCTAGTAATTTGTTATGTGAACTTAATTCACAGTTAGCAAACACTGAATACAAACTATCTTCCTAGGTTCTTGTTGATTGTAAGAAGGAGATGACGATATTCCAGACCCCAAAGATGTGTGCTCTTGTTGGAGTTAGTGATCCATGACCAGCAGAATTCTGATAGTTACAGAAACTCAAAGTCAGTAACATGGGAGTTTTAGCAAGGTGAGAAATTAATACTAGGACATTGGGATGGTTTCTTGGAAGAGGAGGGTTTGAGTTAAGATTTTTTTTAAATGAGTAAAACGTCACATAGATGTGACATGGAATAAATATAGGTGCCTACATATTACTAATTTCCAGATCCCCATTTTGCTCTTACCCACAGTTCCTTCTGAGGAAAGGCCCTTGACCTGGTGTTGGAATCTGTATTTTGTTCATGAGCCCAGTTAATAAGTTTGCCAGTAGAGGTTGCATCTAGTTTTTGGATGAGATCCACAGTCTAATTTTAGAAAGTCCTTCATAGATTGGCCTGGGGCTGAAACATGGTCAAATTCAGCCCAGCTCTATTGCCCCTACTGGCCAGACCAGTGGTACTTTATCTAGAAAGTTCCTAGGCCAAGCCAAGGAAGTGGTGTGGATTTCCCACTATGGCTCTGCTTGCTAAAAATAAAAAACTGGCTAGTAAAAATAAAGTATTTCAAAGTAAGTGGCTTGGGAATATTTATTTGTGTAAAAATACTTCTATTTATCTCATACTTATTTTTTAATCTCCATTAAAGAATGTGATTTTATATGTACTCAGACAAATCACATTTACCAATTAAGTGACTTAAAAGACTGGAGAAAAGATAAATAAACCTGCTTCAAAGCCTCTTATCAATTGAGATTAAAATGGATAAAAAGCTGGAAGACATTTATGAGATAGGAAGAATGTCAGGTTTTTTTCTCTCCATCAGAAAAAAAGGCAATTACAAACTATAGGATAAAATATCTTAGAAATAACTCATGGCCCAAATGTAAAGCAACCTAGAATATAGCATGGTTTGGAGAAATTAAAGAAGAGACCATTTGCCTAGCAAGTGTAAGGCCCTCAGTTTAAAATCCCAACTTGGGATATTCCATTTTAGACATTCACCTTAAGTGACACAGGTACAAATACTGGATCTGTAGAGAAAGAAATTATGGAACCAATATTTCTATAATCACAATATTGTAAGTGAAATTGAGTGGCTTTTCATCTTTTGGGAAGGCAAATGTGTTTATAGAACAAGAGTGGAAGTGTAATTAATCTCAACAATGTCCATATAAGCAAGGTGTACAGAAGTTGAGAGTTGGAAATGGAGGGTGGGGGGCTCTCATGCTGTTCTAATACAGTAAGAAGTCAACAGGCTGCATTGCACTGATGAATGGACAAGCCAAGATTTTCATGTCATTAAGTTACATATTTGGGTGATCATAGAAGAATAATATAGCCATCAAAAACTTGGAGAACTGGGAAAGAGAAAGAGAAGTAGTATAAATTAAGTAATAACTTCTGAAGATGAGCAGTGTAAAGAAATAGCAGTATAAGCATGTTATGAGAAGAAGTTAGAATGGTTAAAGTGGTAATTGGGAAGTGGTACTGGAAGTGATCCAGGGGAGGCACAGACAGTTTTAATGTCATACAAATGATTGTTTTGGTTAAAAAAGAAAGTCGTATTGACCAGCAACAATATTTTAGGGAGCAGCATGACATCAGCTATTTCAGTGAATTCTAGTTCAGTTTTTGAATGCTTAGGCAAAAAGACACTCGGGATGGGAAAATACCAAATGTAACTATAGATATGTTAATACCTAAATACCAAGGGAAAGCTGGTAAGCATTTTAAGTCTTTCTAAATTTACCCTCATGAGAGTGAGGGAGTACAAGTCTGTTAATACAGATATTTGACTGCCATTTTTGTTAAGATAAAGCTTAGAAGATTTTTGTTTTTGTTTTTGTTGAAGTTAAAAAAAAATGAATTCCTATTGAAACTAGAGTCTTAGGCCCCAGGCCCAAACTCCTGGGGTTCCACATGTCAGGTTTGGCCACTCACCCCTATATGCCAGATAAAGAGATGGTAATAGAGAAAGGAGATTTATTACACAGGCCAGAACACACGGTGGGAAGAGGCAGAGTAAGCACTCCGCCCATCTTCAGCCATCTTCCAGGTACAGACATGAGCTTTGGGTTTAAATAGACAAAGAATTGGGGGTAGGAAGAGAGAGGTGTATATAATTATCAAACAGTCCTGGCCACAGGTGTGTCCAGGGGATCATTATGAGTCCTTGTTTTGGGAGGGGTTCTAGAGAAGTTATTGTCATCAATGGTCAGAATAAACACTTCATTGCTACCTGGCAGGTGGTCTGCCCTGTGGGTCTCTGCTGTTTCTTTTAGAGGATGGTTTCTCTATCCCTCCTTGTAAACAGGTTATCAATCAGTCCTGTCCTTCTTGGATTCCAGGTGATTGAAAAGTGACTGAAGATACAAAATGGAAACAGGAATGCCAGGCTTTCCTCCTGCTTTCTTTTTCAATTTGTGAGCCCAAGAAAGGAGTCAGAGCTTTTCAACAAAAGCAGCCTTTAAATACTCCATTACACTGTGAAATTCTTCTCAAAGATTTAAGATTCCTGGAATCATCTAGAGCTAACTCTATTTAATACAACAGCAAAGCTCTTGTGCAAAATTTTCACTTAATTTTTCCATTTAAGAACACATCTCTGATTTCATAATGCCAATCATTGAAAAATGGCAGTTACTATACATTAGTTTTAGACATGTTCATTTCCAAGTCCTGGTAGCCAGGCTCCAGGATCACACTGCATAAGGCTATGATGGTGTGGAACTCAGGCCACCAACTGGGATGCGGATGCTGGGAGATGCTGCCATGAAGTGCCATGTATCTGGGTGCCATCCTGTGGTTGTGATGCTAAACTGGAGTATGTCTTCCTTTTCTTCTTTCCAGGAAGGCACTTTTGTCTATTTATCTTTAGTAGGAACTGTTGCAGAGTCTGAAGGCTTGATTGCATCTTTATGTAAGTAATTAAAAACATTTGCATTTGAAATGTGGGCAGAAATGAATTGCACATGTGGCTGTGTATTAAAAGAATGTCTGCATCACATATTGTTTGATTTTATTTAGATGTAATACTAGATTGGTACTCTGTAGTAAGATAATGGATTAGTGGTTGCCTATGGCTGGGGAAAGGGGTGGGAATGTTGGGGGGATATGAGGAGTGACTGCTGATGGATACATTTCTTGTGGGACAATGGATGTTATAAATTAGATTGTGGTTATTCAAATCTGTGAATACTAAAACTCATTCTTGAAACAGGTGAGTTGTATGCCATGTGGATTACATTTCAGTAAAGCTGTATATTAAAAAATGTTTGTATGTAGGACTAGGGATGTAGCTCAGTGGTAGAGTCCTTGTCTAGCATAAGCAAGGCCCTGCCCCAGCACTGAAAAACAAACAAAAGATCCAAAAATGTTTGTACGAGTACAAATTGAGGAGCTTGCAGCATTTAAACTGGGTGGTTAGTTTAGACTTTTAATATCATCTTAGGGGGCTGGAGGTGTGGCTTCAGTGGTAGAGCACCTGGCCTAGGAAGTGTGAGCCACAGAGTTCAAACCCCAGTATCCTCCCCCCAAAAAACCATCTTTTTTATTGAACATCTGTGTCTGTATTTGTGTAGATAATTTCCCATCTCCTCCTACCCTGCAGAGCTATTAACTAGTTTTCCCTACCTTCTTCACTCTCACTGTAAGTCAGCCACCACTCATTAAGTGGTGTCCTCTTCCCACCACATTCTGTCAATACTGACAAACGAGCCATGCAGTGGCATCTTTGCCGCATCTGTAAAACTGCTTTGCTCAGGATAATTGCTTTCAGATTTTGCATCTCTAATTCTTCATCGTTCCCACCCCCTCTCTTTCCCTCCCTTTCTCTCACCCATCCACTCTTCCCCCACTATTTTCTATGCTGGGGATGGGAACCCAGGGCCTCTACTAATCTTAGGAAACTTCTAGAGAATTGAGTCAGCTACACTTAGTGCTTCTGAAAAAGTGTGTCATCCTGGATACCTCAAAGTCCTATCCGGTGGTCACTCGGGGATCTGAGCCCCCTTCCTTAGCCAGGATGCTGCTGCATCAGTTCCAGGGCTGCACTGAGTGCAGCTGTGCACCTTGTTGATGGGTGTTTTTGTTAAACTTTGCTTGAGGATGGCTGGCACCCAGCCTGAGTCACCACCCCTCTGGTTCCCTTTGTTAGAGGCCATTCTGCATCCTCCCACCCTGGCTGCCCTACCTGGCATCAGAGAAAGTGATTTGGTCAGATTGTGCTCCATCCCATGAAGTACAGTGTCTTACATGGTCTTTCCCAGTCATCTTCATGTGTCCATTGATCACCTTATAGAAGTGAAAACTCATTGAGTATAATGCCCTTCATTTTCATGAAAGCAAAATCCAATAGACAACAAAAGTAAGTAGTGCTTCCTAGACTCTGAAATGTACAAAATCGCCTGGGAATCCTGTTCAAATGCAGATTCTGGTCTGGAGGGCCTGGGCCAGGGCCTCTTGGACATTAGCCTGTTCTGTCCTTGGCTTCAACAAGCTTAGGCCAGCCATACACATGATGACCCTCACCACGTCCTCATCTCCTCTTGCTGACTGAGCATACACAGGCTCAGCTAGTGGGACCTCCCATCAGTTTACATCTTTTCCCTCTGAACCTGTCCCCACTAGTTGTCAATCACAAAATAAGTGGAAATGATCACATCACGTTTCTAACATTCTTGCTTACCCTTTAGTTATTTACACGTTTAACTAGCAAAGGAGGAGTTAAGGGGACCGGTGGCCAGCAGGGCCTATGTGTGTCCTGCCTTTTCTCTTGTCCCCATACTGTCTTCTTCGCCTTTGTGGACTTATCTGTAGTTACTGATACTTTTTGCGGTCTTGGCCCTAGGCCTTTGCACATACTTCTCCCTAGAACATCCCTATCCCTCTCCCAATTTCAGAGTCACACATGTGGTAAGACCTGAAATCAAGGTTCAGTGTTCTGTATGCCTTGACATCTGGTAAAACCTGGAAGGCCTCAAGTGGCCTAACTCCAAGTTCCTTTCCCCACTCTGCTTCCCTAGCCCTCAACTTCCTCACCGCTGTGGGGAACAGCCACAGTGCATCCCTGTACCTAGGGAGCCTTGTCTCTAGAGAGCCAGCTTCAGTTCCCCACCAGCCCACAGAATTATTCAAGCAAACCAGTCACATCCTCTCATGTAAACTCATCCTCCTGTTAATACCCAGCCTGCCTCTGTGGTCCTTGGTGGTTCACTTTATGCCCTCCCATGGTGCTTCCTGGCATAGTGACCTCCTCCCCAGGTGTAAGTGTGTGTGACTAATAAACTGCCATCCATCACATCTGTCCAGTGTCAGGTGTTGTGTCAGGCCATCTCCATGACCCAGCAGGGTGAAGAGGAATGGATCACAACACCCTTTCCGGGGAACCTTCAGTGGTTTCACTCTCCAGTGCCCCTTCCTCCATGTCCCCATGTTCTCTACCCATCATGTAGGCAGGTTTGGTTTTAGCCCTACTACTGTGAGCCATTTGCAGGCAGACTTTGTGGCCTGGTGGCTGCTGCCTTCTCCAAGCCCAGCACAGAGATTCTCACATGTTCAGAAAAGATTTGTTGAATTCAAGAATAAATGGATGGTGGTTTGGTGGAGGGTTTTTTGTTTTGTTTTTGTTTTGCAGTACTGGGGTTTGAACTCAGGGCCACAAGCCAGTCTACCACTTGAGCCACTTTGCCAGCCCTTTCTTATATTGGGTATTTTTGAGATAGAGTCTCTAAAACTATTTGCACAAATTGGCCTTGAACTGCGATCTTCCTGATCTCTGCCTCCCAGGTAGCTAGGAATACAGGCATGAGCCACCAGGCACCAGAAGGTTGTTTTGTATTTAATGTCTAAATACCCACTAATATCTTTTCTCCTAAAGCATTGATATTTATTTAAGTGATATCCTTAGATTTTGGATGCACCAGCTGGTACATTTTGCCTATTGTATGTACATTTAAATTTAAGGGGTTATATGTACTTTTAAATTTTGGGAGGAAGCTAGGCACCAGTGGCTTGTACCTGTAATCCTGGCTACTTGAGAAGCTGAAATCAGGAGGATTGTGATTTGAGGCCAGCCCAGGTAAAAAGTTCATGGGACCCCATGTCAACAGTAAAAAACTGGTGTGGTGGCATGCACCTGTCATCCCAGCCACAGAGGGAATTTTAAAATAGGGAGATGGTGGTCCAGGCCAGCCTGGGCAGCAAAAGAGACCCTGTCCAAAACAACCAGAGCAAAAAAGGCTGGAGGTATGGCTCAAGCCATAGAGTTACCTGTCTTGCAAGCATGAAGTCCTGAGCTCAAACCCCAGCACCCCTAAAAAATAAAAATAGGTAAATTTGGGGGAAATTTTTCCTTTCAATACTTCATTTTTCCACATAATACATTATTTTGGGGCATGGCAGTCAGTCATCTAAGGATGAGTGAGGCTGTACATGGACTTACACAGGGCCTTCTTGCAGCCTGTGTCTTATGTGTTACCTCATTAAATAGTCCTTTCTCTTAAGACAGCCTTTCAAGAGAAGCCTTTGTCCTGATCACAAGGGATCCTTCCTCTAGCCATTATGAGAGCTTTGCATAACTCACCAATCAGATCCCAGAACTCATTTTTGACCATTTATATATTCTCAAAGTAATATGAGAACAGTAGGTGAAGGAAGAGACAAGGTGGGGACATTCACTTTTTCATTTTCATCATTCAAGGTTGTAGCGCCAGTATGTATTACTTTTATCAATTAAAAAATAATTAAATGAAGCAGGGAGAAGAAAGGCCTCCTCTGTGCATGCCCATGCATCTAGCTATAAAAGACTTCCTGACTCATGCCACATTCTAGAAAAAAATTTTCTTTCTTTTCTTTTTTAATGTGGTATTGGGGATAGACTCCAGGGCCTTGCACACACTACATGTGCTCTACCACTGAGATACCTCCATCCATCCCTTTTTTTTTTTTTTTTTGGTGGTACTGGGGTTTGAACTCAGAGCCTCACACTTGCTAGCCAGGCACTCTACTGCTTGAGCCGCTCTGCCAGCCCTTTTTGTGTAGGGTATTTTAAAGACAGAGTGTCATAAACTATTTGCCCGGGGTTGGCTTTAAACTCTGATTCTCCTCATCTCTGCCTACAGAGAAGTTAGGATTATAGATGTGAGCCACCAGTGCCCAGCTTGTATTTTGATTTTTGGGATCAGGGTCTCACTACCATTGCTCAGCTAGGGCTAGTATTGAATTTGTGATCCTCTGGCTGCCACCTTCTAGGTCGCTGGGATTTTAGGCATGCATGCATCACCATGCCCAGCTTCTAGAAGAAACTTTCTTTTCTTTTTTTTTTTTTGCCAGTACTGGGTTTTGGACTCAGGGCCTTGCACTTGCTAGGCAGACACTCTATCACTTGAGCCACTCCACCAACCCGAGAAGAAGCATTCTGCTTATGGGTCTGGAACGATTCTTAGATCGTATTCACTGCCCAGTCAGCACAACTGAAGGCTTGCGTGGTAGTTGTTGCTACTGAGCACTCTGTCCGCAAAGTAGGCTGCAAAGCCCACCTTTATCCACTTTGAATGTGCCCCGGAGTCAGGGCACACCACCCCTCTACACCTTTAGTACTCAGTTTCTCTTCATTTCATAAATGTGTTTTCAGCCAGATGTGGCACGCCTTGTAATCCCAGCACTTGGGATACTGAGACAGGAGGATCTCGAGTTCCAGGCCAGCCTGGGCTACATAGTGAGACTGTCTCAAACAAACACCAAAAATGTACTAATAAACATTTCCTTAATAACTATTTTTCCACATCTGAATTATACTTACAGGTTTGATATTGAAATTTTTAAGTACAGAATTACAATGCATTTACCAAGATCATCATTAAAGATGATCTTTGCAAAATCTGACTGTGTTGACTTAATTTAAAATTCTGCTACTTATAATGAAAAGAGCCCAGGGTAGAGAGGGCATGTCATACGTGAAACTGTAAAATATTTTACAAATAGAATATTATTATTATTGCTTGTGCCAGGCATTAGGGAGAATGTAGAGGGAGTGGTGAGTGTTCTTTTCATTTCATCCTTTAAGGAAAAAGGTCATTTCCATTAACTGTCATAAAAATGCTTGCCAGTGAGTAACCACAGGTGTTTTGTGTTTAGGGAAAGAATATGGCAAAGCTGATGCAAGATGGCTTTATTTTGATCCAACCATGGTGTCTTTGGAAATTCTGACTGTTGTTCTGGATGGGTTTCTGGCATTGTTCCTCGTTTATGCCATAGTCAAGGAGAAATATTATCGGTAAGTAGGATATGTTATTTCTTCTGTCTGGGTAAAAAAAGAGAAGAAGCAGCTATTCCCAATGCCCAAGTGACACTTAGAGTAGGTTGTGAGCACATTTGTCTGTGAGACAAAAACTAGACTAGAAATGCAAATTTTTTGATTTTACATAAGGGTCATAGGGTCACCAAGGTAATTTTGAACCATTCAAAATACAAAAAAAATATGAGCCAGGCACCAATGCCTGCAAATAGTTCTTGAGACCCTATCTCAAAAATATCCAATACAAAAAAAAAAAGGGATGGTAGAGTGGCTCAAGTGGTAGAGTACCTGCCTAGCAAGTGACAAGCCCTGAGTTCAACCTCCAGTACTGCCAAAAAAATAAATTAAAAAAAAAAAATGAGAAACAGGATTCTGGTAACAACCTTGTCTCTGTGGAGGCAAGAAAGGTGTTAACAGTGTTGGATGATTGGCCTCCGGTAAAAGCAATAAAAAGGATGCTCTGCATAACTCTAGAAAACTCCCGTCCCACTAGACACAAAGTTGATGCTCTGGGTACTTCCGAGTTAGACTTATAAAATCAGAGATCTTTTCAGAAGCAGGTTATGGCCTTTGGAGAGGCAGAAGGGTAGGAAAATATGAGAATAATGAAAAGTTAACCATCCTCTGAGTCAGACTCTGAGAGATCTCAACTCTTCTCCTCCCTTTCCTTTTCTTTCTCTCCTTCTGAGGAACACAGTGACCTGGGGTATATAGCTGGCAATTCTGGGGATGATTCCCTAAAACAATGTCAAGAAGTGATGATTCACTTCTATGTTCTGCCAATTTATATTTAAAGTTTTATGTAAAGCTTTAGTGTAAAAATTTCAGATTTGAAGGAGAGCTCCAAGGTCATTTAATCCACTTTTCCTCACCCAATTTTACAGAGATAGTGACAGTAAACATTAATAATTAATTTCTCCTTGGTGCTTTCACATAGTTTTAGCTCCATGACCACAACTGCAGACTTATTTTGTGCCCTTGTGGATTGATTATTTCAAACATTTATAATGTTTGCATTGTTGGGTATTTATTGTATGTCAGACACAATACTTGTGTCTTTATGTACGTATCTCATTTAAGCTCCACAACACTTGGAGGAAGGGCTGGGTTTTTTTGTTTTTGTTTTTGCAGCCCTGAGTTTTGAACTCATGGCCTCATGTTTGTTAGGCAGGTGTTCTACCACTTGAGGCAAGTTCCCAGCCCTTTTCACTTTAGTTATTTTTGAATAATTATAATATTTTTCTCATTTTTGCCTGGACTGTGATCCTTCTACCTATAGGGTCCCTTGTATCTAGAACCACAGACATATGCCCCATATCCAGCTTATTTGTTGAGATAGGCTCTTGCCCAGGCTGGCCTTGAACTATAGTCCTCATGATCTCCACTTCCTGAGTAGCTGAAATTACAGGTGTGAGCTACTAACACCTAGTGAAGAAGGGCTATTATTATCTCCTTTTAAAGTGAAATTATGGCTCTGACAAGATTCACATCCAGGTCTCTTTGCTGGGGCTGATGTAACCTTACTAAGCCGTCTACAGAATTGTCCAAGGGACAATAGAGTCCTTATTGAACTCAGAATAATCTGCTAGAAAGGACAATACTCTTCTCCAAGGAAAGAATGAGTCCTCATTAATTAGGTTAACTTGTCCCATCAAAGGAGCTCTGCACAGAACCCGAAGTCCAGCTTTGGAAAGCTTGTCTTTCTTTTTCTTTTTCTTATTTTGCCTTCAGTGCTAGGGATGGAACCTAGGACTCAGGCTAGGCAAACGCTCTCTACCACTGAGCTACTTCCCCAGCCTTAGAGAAGTTCTCTGTGGAAAGGCTACACTTATGCCTCCCTTAAAGAAAAGATGCCATAATTCAGGGTGCTGGGCTGTACCAAGCAGTCAGCTTCATTCCTGCTTCTTTCTGTCCAACAGACATTTCATACAGATTGCCCTCTGTGTGTGTGAACTCTATGGCGGCTGGATGACCTTCTTCCCAGAGTGGCTTATTGGAAGCCCCAACCTCAACACCAACAGTTGGCTGTACTTTTGGGTCTATCTGGTATTTTTTAATGGTGTGTGGGTTCTGATCCCAGGACTGCTACTGTGGCAGTCATGGGTAGAACTCAAGAAGATGCATCAGAAAGGAACCAATTTAGGGAAAAAACGCAGGTGATTTTTCAAAATCCTATGGGCCAGAGAGATCAAACATTCCAGTCTACTCTTTCTTTTTATGTTCTTATTCCTGAACAGCCTGCTCTAAGTTGGCCATAAGGTGGCAAGTTTTTGTTTTTTTAATTAAATGACAATATGAGAAAAGAGCATACCGGGTGTGTAGCTTAGTGGTAGAGTGTTTGCCTAGCATGCACAAGGGCCCAGCAGCACAGAAAAAAAGGGGGGAGAATAAATATTAACTTGTAATAATAACACATTTAATTACATACTTTTACGGGTGGCATTGTTTCAGATTAATAAAGCCAATAATCATAGAATTATTGCTGCTTCTTTTAATCTTGTCAGAAGCTCTTTTGGTTACCAGTGTAAAACTGAAGCAAAACGAATGCTTCTACTTGACATTGGTATTTTTTCAAATTTGTGAACACAACAAAAACCAGTAGTGGTGGTGCTTACCTGTAATCCCAGCTAAGGTAGGAGGATCATGAATTTGAGTCCAGTCTAGACTACATACAAGACCCTGTCTCAATAAAAAAGATAGTAGGAACTAGTGAGTGGGCTAACTCATCACAAATAAACATCAGTACCCCACACAGACAGATCATATCTGTTCTTTTTGAAGGAGGAAGATTTGAGATACTTACAGAAATACATTGTATATTATAATAAAAAAAATCAAGAAATAGAGATGGGGAAAATAACTGAGAAATAATAAGATCAATGTAAAGTTAATATCAAACTGCTGTGCTAACAGTCTACATAAGGGGGGAGATAAAGCTCACGTTTGGTATTCACTCTCAGTACTGAGAGGGAAGCAGAGCCCATTGTATTTCAGAAATGAGTGGTTCAGGAGGTGATCACAGTGGTTCTGTACGGGTGGGGAGCAGGTATTCACCCCAGCTTGTTCAACACCTGCCTTTATTAGATTTTCAGCTCACAGACGTGTTCTATGCCCAGAGATGCCCAGCACAACAGCCTGGCTCTTGGGAGGAGGTAGGGAACGCTATAGCTCTATGGTTCAGTCTATGTTCCACCCTCTTTCTTGGCTGCCTGCTGCTAGAATTTGAATCTTAAATGTCCCCCAAAGGCTGTGTGCCAAAGGTGTGGTCCTCAGCCTGTGGTGCTATTGGGAGATCGTGGAACCTTTTAGGGCCCAGTTGGAAGAAGTTGTGTTACTGGGGGAGAAGAGGGAGGTGACTTTGAAGGGAACATTGGGACTCTACACCCCTCCTCTCTCCTCTCTTTCACTTCCTAATGCCATGAGGTAAGCAGCTTGCCTCACCACCCACTCCCACCATGCTACACCACAGGCCCAAAGCAACAGGACCAAGCAACAGTGGACTGAAACCTCTGAAACGGCAAGCCAGAATAAATCTTTCCTCCTTTAAGTTGTTTAGCTCAGGCATTTGTCACGGGAATTGAAAACTAACACACCTGTTTCAGGCTCTAGGCCACTCACCAAATTGGTTTCCCTTGTCAGAAGTACTTGAGAGACTTGGATGATAAAAACAGAGACCTTTTCAACTTTTCTGTCTTTTCTTCACTCCCTTTTCCTCTCCCCTCAAGACTAATAAGTGCATCAAAATGACAGTGTTGTTCATAATTACTACAAACTGGAAACAACCTAAAAGAATACATTGCATATGATACAGGCATGTACACACACACAATGGACTGCTATACAACAAACAAAACGTGCTACTCTTAACAACATAGAACAATTTCACAGATGTAATAATAAGTGAAAGAGATGAAATCAAAAGAATACATATTGCTGGGTCTTGTTTATGAAAATTTCAAAAACAGGTGCATGTTGAGTATCCCTTATCTGAAATGCCTGGGCCCAGATTCTCAAAGCTTGAAGATTTTGGAATATTTGCATAGACTTTCTGGTGAGCAGTAGAGCATCCCTAATCTGAAAATCCAAAATCTGAAATGCTGCCACATCTTTTCAGTATTTGAACTTTTAAATTAAAGATACTGAGCCTATAAAACTAATCAATGGTGTTAGACATCAGGATGGAGGTTGCCTTTGGGGAAGAAGGTGGGGGAGTAATGGAGAGAGTTATGAAGGGGATTCAGAGATGCTTGTCATGTTCCATTTTTCTCATTTGAGTGGTAGTTCTAATTTGTGATAGTCATTCAGCTGTACACTTAGTAATTGTGTACTTCTCTGCACATATGTTATACTTCAACTTGAAAAGTTTATTTTAAGAATATTTCTGGTATGAAGACCTAAAAATGTCTGCAGTGTATCCTCACAAAGCCCCTCTGCTATGTCTTTGACAACAGATTCAGTACACTGACTGTTTCTAATGGTGTCTCCAGTGTGAGCCCACAGGGCATGCCATCAGGAGAGCCTGACCAAACATCTCCAGTCCTTTGCTCTCTGCTGACCTGGTTTGGTCCAGGGATAAAGAGAGTGGAGCAAACTGGGTGGACCAAAGACCCGGCAGGCAGTCCTATAAACATTTCTCTCAGCTGGGTTTTTGCCAAATATTGAGTGGAAGAGAAATGAGGATTGTAGATTCTGATGGAAACTTGGAGTACAGATGATTCTGTGATCTAGTAGGGACAGATACAAATGTTTTCCCAATTGAGTTGGGAGAAGGATTGATGTCCCATTTGACAGTTATGGAACCTAACAAGTCCCTGTGAATAGAAGCCTATGTCCCTGTCACAGTGAGTTGGGAGCAAGCTCACAACCATATGTCATGGATTCAAAGATGCATTTTCCACTACATTTTCACATTCTACAAAGAGGATGCATTTTACAGTTGATGGGTCATAATTTAGTTGCCAGTGATTTTTCCTTTCCAAAGTTCAGTATATCTTCTACTCCTGTGTCCCCTCTTCCAGCCTCAGCATCTCCAACTACTTGCAGGTGATAGACAGTTTCAATTTGTTTTAAATTCTAAATTTTACTTGGGATCATAGTGATCACCACCTGCTCCCTACCATGAAGCACTACAACGCCACAGGACCAGGCAGCCATGGACTGACCATTCACTCTAGTACCTTCTCTCCCTTCCCCATCACGTGTTTCCTGGGGAGCCATAAAAAAGACAAGCTTTAAGGAATATATAAAGCAATTTACCATGCGTAATGAATGACATCTATTGTAAGTAGTGAGACTCCTGCAAACAGTTCATTCTTCCCTGGTGTTGTTTATGCTCTAAATTTCCCTCACAAACCCTTTTTTTCAGAGTGTTGAGACAGATATCAACATAACCCATCTAAAAAGAGCATAAGTGATGACTTGTCCTGGATTTAATTGTGTCAGTTCCATCACTCCTAGGGCTCCAAGAAAAGTCCACAGGTTACAATGTGGAAATTGTAATATTTTGTCAAAGAAAAGTTTAATAGAAACCAAAATGCAACCGGGCACTGGTGGCTCATGCCTATAAATCCTAGCTATTCGGGAAGCAGAGATCAGGTGGATCGAGGTTTGAAGCCAGCCCGGGCAAATAGTTCAAAAGACCCTGTCTTGAAAAAATCCATCACAGAAAAAGAGCTGATGGAGTGGCCCAAGCTGTAAGAGTGCCTGCCTAGCAAGCATAAGGCTCTGCCCTGAGTTCAAAACCCCAGTGCCATTAAAAAAATGCAAACAAAAAGTTTGAAGAAGAATCCTTTTTTCATTTTAAAATTCTTCTTTTGTTGTGTTGTTGTTGTTGTTATAAAGGCTGGAATTTGACTCTAAAGAATCTATGAAGAAAATAACTGAACAAAGCCTTGAATGAAAAGGCTTAGTGTTGCAATTCCTAATTTTAACTAAATACCCTCAAGTCATAGGTAGGCCTAGGTGAAGGTATGAACCAACTTCCTCTACCCACTTCTTCCCCTTTCCTCAAAGACTGGACATCTCTGCAGAAGTCAGACCTAACAAAAGTCTATCTCCCACTTCCACTTCCCTGTAGAAAACAATCACATCCATTAATTAACCTTAAGATGTTAATAGCCAATAATAATTTGATGTAGTATCCTTCCTGAGAATATTATATAATTGGTAGGCATTCAGTGCTGAAAATGGAAACTTTAGATAATTTTTTAAAAGTTTAAAAACTGGGCAGGGTGGCCATAGTCCCAGCTACTTAGGAGCCTTAGATGAAAGGATCGTTTGAGCCCAGGAATTTTGAGACCAGCCTGAGCAAGCAACAGTGAGATCTCTCAAAAAAAAAAAAAAAAATTCAGATCAGAATGATAGGATCACTATTAAAAACTTGGTTTCTATTTCTTAAACATTTTCCTGTACATGTATTAACATTTGGGAGAGACTCCTAAAGAATTCAGCATCTCTCTCTCTCCCCGCCACCCCCCGTCTGTCCCTCTCTCCCTCCCTCCCCATGAAGACACAAAACCAACTGTGTATCATGCTTTAGAAAATGCCTTCATTCTTGAGAAATTATGTACTTACCAGAGGTTGGTTGGCACAGTTATCACTTGGTTTTGGAAACCAGTTTCCTAGATGCTTACGTTAATATGAAGTTAACATTTTAAAATATTTGATTGGCCACCTTCCAACAGAGGATCACACATGCCAATCCTGAAGCAGTATTAGGTCCTATGTATTTAATCTCTTTTCTCCCAAAAGCTTTCCCTGTCCTCTGGAAGTTGGGAAGGAGGGAGGGACTCGGCTTAACCAGAATTTTTTTTTTTTTTTTTTTTTTTGCAATACTGCAGTTTGAACCCATCCTTGTGCTTGCTAGGCAGGTGCTCCCATTTGAGCCACTCCAGCCGCAGGAGGGAGGGAACTCTGAGTTCTCCAAATTCTTGTTAGTGTCACGTAAGTGCCTGGGAGGAGTTCCATGGTAATTGTTGTATATCCACCTGCCTAACTGTACAGGAGCCTCTCAAGGCTGCACATGGAATTCTGGACTCTCAGATTGCTTAAAGGGACCTTGGACAGTTCTATTTATACACCTGGAAACCAAGATGAAAACGATTGGTTCACAGGTGCCCACGGCCACATAGTTTTTCAGTGAGCTATGTCCCAATCCACTTAAATGTATTC